GGTTGACATCGGCTCGGGTGACGTAAGGCGTACCTTGCTCTAGGCCTGCGATTTCTTGATTCTTGCTAGAGTGGTAGCGTCTGTGCTTCTGCGGCCTCGTTGAGGCCGCTGTGTGTGAGGGGAAAAACGCGGGAGCGTGAACAGAGTGGTAGTGAGGGCACGAGGAAGTAGGAGAATCGCAGCGGGCACGAGTGGCCTGTTAAACGACGAAAATTAGGCTGCGTTACACTGTGCACTTCCTTAATTAGATACACTGGATATCTTCTTTGCGTTATTAAACGTTGCCACGCTCTCTCGTTCTTAGTCATAGTTGACCACAGTAGTCATAGTTGACCACAGTAGTCATAGTTGACCACAGCAGTCATAGTTGACCGTAGAGATCGTGGCCGTCTCAGACAATAGTTGGGCTGACAGTTTTAATAAGTGAGAACACCGACTGAAATATGCGTGCTGGCGTCGCATTGCTGCGCTGGTGAGGCCCCCTGGCGTCGATGTTATCAGGAGCGTATAATGACAAATATACAATATTCGTACAATGACAAATATACAGCGTATAATGACAAATATTTGTCATTATACGCTCCTGATGTTATGTAACTGTGCGTTGTGCGTGTAGACGCGGCGTCGTAATTTACAAGGAAATATTGAATTCCGCGCACGTGAGTCACGCTGCAGTGCGCAGGCGACGCATAGCGGGGGCTTATCCGCCGCCGGCACGCATGCGTTCAACAACCATAATCACACCGTATATCATCACGCGCTGTCCAGCAAGCTTTCATCCGTAACTTATTATTATTATTTTAATAGTAGCAGTAGTAGAGGTAGTGTTCGTGGCGTAACAAGAATAAACAAGCGGCATGCTTGCGGCACAATTGTCAATGTGTGTTGCAGAGGAGCATTTGGACGGCATTTACAGGTAGTTATCGGAAATAATATAGGCGAACGAGAGTAGAGAAACCAAACCCACGTTCCAAATGCCTCTGGCGGCAGCAGCAGCGGGGACGAGGAGGGAGCGGCAGCAGGAAGGAAGACCTGTGGCGGCTGGGGGAGAGGCCCCGGCTGGGGGGAGGTGGCGGCAACAGCGACTGGGGGTGGCAGCAGGAAGGAAGGCAGTAGAAGTAGCGGGGAGGTGAGGGGGAGTGTCTTTTAGTAACCCCGTGAGCGTATACGTAGTGGTACAGGTATTGTTTGAACTCCGTGGTGTTTACCCCTCCAGCACACCCCTCACACGCACATATACTCACTCACTTGCACGCACACATGCATTTACGCGCATGCACGCACACATGCGCGCACACATATTTAGGATTACTAGCACTAAGCTCTCACTGTTTATAGACGGGCTTTCGTTCGCTAGCTTGCAGTGGTTAGTCCATTCTTGATGGCCAGTCGTGAGTAAGTGAGTGTCCGGTCAGATGTGCGGACGGCTGCCCACGACCCCCTCATGCCTGCCTGGCTGCCTGCCTGCCTGCCTAGGCTGCCTGCCTGTCTGACTGCCTGCCTGCCCGCCCGCCTGCCCGCCTGAGTGCCTGCCTGCCCGCCTATGCTGCCCGCCTAGGCTGCCTGCCTGCCTGCCTGCCTGCCTGCCTGCCTGCCTGCCTGCCTGCCTGCCTGCCTGCCTGCCTGCCTGCCATACACTCTAACTCGTTCTCTCTCGCCTGTCAACCGTGTCGCGGGAGGTGTGAGTTCTACCTTTCCTGTTTGCGACAGCTGCTGCTGCTTCCCTTGTACACGCGACGGGAAGTCTGGGTGTAATCTAGCACACTGTACAGAGCGCGCCGCAGCAGTATATACATCAGTACAAGAGCGTATAAAGAAGGTTTATTCTTTCTTTCTTCTGCCTTTCTTCTGCCTTCTTTATACGCTCTTGATCGGTATATATGCGCCTTCACACGGGATCTGGGGGGGAGGTTCCGTCAGGACAGAACAGAGGCACAGAGACGTAATGCCGATATATGCGGGGGACTGAGCCTCATGGGAGGGCCTGGGCTCTGGTGCATGGGCATGTAATGGCATGTAATGTCATGTAATGTCATGTAATGTCATGGCATGTAATGGGCATGGGCATGGGCAGTGGTAGCTCAAGAACTATAGCCCTTCGCTCTGCCACAGGCCTCTGCATCTGTGGCACAGCGAATGGCTATAGTTCTAGAGCTAAACCAAGGCAGGCCATACCTAGCAGGGACAGGACGGGGCATTTGTAGGAGAGGAGCAGGTCATATATATCAGGGGAAGGGAAGGGTGTATCCAGGAGGACGATACTACCACATCGTGAGACGTAGTAGAAAGCACTGACTGTCAGCTGTTCACCTGAGAGCTCGCGGGAAGACGTCCTGTGGTCTGAGAGCAACGAGTTACGCATTTAGAGACTGCACATTTCCGCTTCAAAATTTGCCAAATTCCGTTTCGGAGATTACTAAATTCCACTTCACTTCCGTTTCAGCAAATTTCTACATTTTAATTCAGAAATAATTAAAATTAAGAGAAACACTGATGGATGCCTGTTTTTTGTGTTTGTAATTTTTTTTTGGATCTGTAATTTCTTTTGGAGGGTTAAAGTGATGATTGTAAGGTAATTTTTCATAATCATTTTGTGTGTGTTGGGAGTGATTTGAGCTGTTTTAAAGGATATTTTTGTGTTTTGGGAGGTTATTTTTGGTGAAACTGGTGATTCCGTTGCAGAGGGGGTGATTCCGTGATTTCCGTCCATATGTGCGTGGATGAGTGAGTGAGCGTGTATGTACGTGTACTTGTATGTGTGCATACGTACATGCATGCCTGCATGAATGCACGCAAAAGAGAGAGGGGGGGCTTAAGGCAAGATAGAACGAGAGAGCGTGCAACGTTTAAAACCACAGAGGATATCAGTGTTCTTATTAAGGAAGTGCACGTGTACGCAGCCAATTTTCGTCGTTTACCACTCTGCCGCGCGGTTCTCCTACTTCCTCGTCTCACTAACTCTGTTCATGCTCGCTTTTTTCCCCACACACAGGGCCTCAACGAGGCGCAGAAGCACAAGTTAACTCTACAGAATCAAGAAATGCAGCTAGACAAGGTACGTACGTCACCGAGCGATGTCACCGAGCGGCGTCACCGAGCAATGCCCACGGGCACTCGGAGTGTTTCAATAAAATATAATGCTAAATAAATACGAAACCTATTTACTACCTAGATATAATATATATGTATATATATTTATGTGTCAGTGTGCGGCAGCGTGCGTGTGGTGTACATGTGTGTTGCAGGGGAGCATTTGCACGGCATTTACAGGAAATTGTCGGCAATAATAGGCGAAAGAGAGTAGAGAAACATTAAGACTTTGGTAGTAAATAACTTTCGTATTTATTTAGCATTACATTTTATTGAAACGCTCCAAGTGCCTGTGGCGATGTCGGGCGTGTGAATCGGGGACCCCGCGAAATATACACGGCATTCTTCAGGTAGATTCAGCGGAAGTAGGGTGTCACTTTCCCCCGGGCGTAGAGGGAGGGTGCCGCCTTCGTACACTTCCGTCATTCCACAGTCATACTTCCATGCTAGACATGCCGGCCTTATTTCCCTAACCCTAACTCTAACCCTAACCCTAACCCTAATCCTAACCCTAATCCTAACACTAGTGCTGCCACGTAGCGGCACCCTCCCTCTACGCCCGGGGGAAATTGGTTAATATGGCTCAAGGGATCGTTGTCGTATCAGGTACTACAGATATGTACCCGAGGTACATATATGTATACACAAAGTGTACCAGACTTGTACTACAGAAGTTAGTACCCTAACCCTAACACTAACCCTAACCCTAACACTAACCCTAACCCTAAACATACCTCATATAAAAATATAAACATAATACAAAACAACCTAACTACCTCGGGTACATATCTGTAGTACCTGATACGACAACGACCCCATCTGCCTTACTATGCAGTACTGTGCTAGTCTACAGCTACACTATGCTGCCAGTCTGTAGGTAGACTACTCTATATGGCTAGTCCACTCTATTAAGCTAGTCTATAGGCAGACTACACTAGACAGCTAGTCTGCTTTACTATGCTAATCTACATTGTAAAGGACTGCGCTCTACCTGCATACCACAAGTACATTTGTCTTCCACTTGCTGTGGCTTTACATAAGAGTCGCGGCTGCGGGAAACATCAGCTGCTCTAATACGATCAGGAGTCTATCAATAGATATCAATTTATATCAATTATATCAATATTGATATACTCCTGATACGATGCGTGATTAAGGCAGTGACAACAGCACTCTTATCTGTACTGCCCGCAGTATCCATCTGTACTCCATCCACCCAAAAAGCACTACAGCACTGATAGAACGCGCGGTGTGTGTGTGCGCGTGTGCGTGCGTGCGTGCGTGCGTGTGTGTGTGTGTGTGTGTGCGCGCACACGGAGGTTATGACATGCACAGTGGATCAGACGTGTACGTAGTGATGTGTACGATAGACGTGGCACACATAGGTGGGTCACAGAGAGGGTGCGATGGGTGTAACACAGAGTGGGTGTGGTGTGTGCGGTGTGTTACCACTGCCTTTTGCTGGACAAGTTTCGATTGAAAATCTTCGTGCTACATGCGTTCCCTCGCATAACATATGCACTCACGCTGCAAGCGGCCCTTGATTTAACTCTGCCGAAAATAATACAGTAACTAAAATACAGTAACTAAAAAAGCAGTGCTAAAAAGAAGGCAGTGTGCTCGATGGACGCCGGGTGTGTGTGACGTGACGTCATGCGTTCGGTGATGAGTAGTTTGTAGCATCCGCACGCGTGCTGGTGGTGGTTGTGGGGGAGGGATGGGCTGAGACAGGAGGCTTCCATGTACTTCCTAATTATTACACGTAATCGGCGCGTACAGTGCATCCGTTAGTGCAGCAATATCTCGATGCCATGTTATGGCTTGCATAGTGTATGTATGTGTGTGTGCGTGTGTGTGTGCGTGTGTGTGTGCGTGCGTGCATGCATACGTGCGTGTGTGTGCGAGTGCGTGTGTGCGTGCGTGTGTGTGCATGCGTGGGTGTGTGCCTGCGTGTGTGCATTCGTGCCTGCATACGTACTTGCCCGTCTGCTTGTGTGCGTGCCTGCATGCTCGCGTGCGTGTGTGCCTGTATGCGTGCGTGTGCGTGTGTGTGTGACTGCATGTGAGCGTCCATGCCTGCCTGCTTGCATGCTTGCGAGCGAGCAAGCGTGCGAGCGTGCGTGCGAGCCTGCGTGAAATGGAGAATAATCAATCATACGCGTCCTTCCCACTTTCCACAGGCCAAGAGGTTGTATGAAAAATCGCACAAGGACTCGTTACGAGCGAAGCTGGCGTATGAGCGGGCGGAGGCAGATCTGACGCACACGCTGAGTTTCTGGCCTCGCGTGGCCACAAATATCAAACACGATAGATATCGGTCTCACAGCCACGCGAGGCCAAAACTCGTGCAGAATTTGCGCGCACACGCTGAGGCCGTTGGCTCAGCAGATAGATTACCGTGTGTGGCTAACAGGTCGTCGGCTCACAGCGATCCGCGGGGTGGGAGTCAGTCTGGAAATAGTATAGACATAATGATGAGAGCGACTGATAGTCATCGCTAATCGTGCTAGCCGTGTTGTTGACTTTTATCATGGGCATCACGTGAATGTTGAGCTGTGTATGATGAGCGCGTGGCCGTGTTCCGCGGGTATTGGCAGCGGGATGAGCCGGTAATCGGTGCATCCCTAATTCAAATTCATTCTCGCTTTGTCCTGTTAGCTGTTCGGCGGAAAAGATGTATCGCACGCTGGGTACTGTCGGAACGTACTCCCGAAGTCATAACCCTCAGCTGTACCTGTAACCCCAGCTCTAATCCTAATCCTAACGCAATGTTAACTCTAACCCATAACTCTAACCCTAACCCTAGTCCTATACCTAACCTCAACCCTAACCCTAACCTTAACACTGACGCTATGCCTAACCCCAACCCTAACCCATAACTCTAACCCTAACCCCAATCCTAACCCCAACCCTAACCCTAACCCAAACCCTAATCCTAAGTTAACCCCCTCTAACTATAGCCATAACATACCCTCTAACTGTAATCCCATCCCTTTCTTTTTTCTGATTTCTGAACCTACCCCTGACATGTCCCCCAGAAAGTCCGATTCCCAGTTGTCGTACTCAGCGAGACACACAGCGGTCTCTTTTAGCCTCGCTTAGGCTAATAGGCATTTTCACATGATCCTACCGTGAGATTTAGTTTTGGCCTATCAGCTGGTAGCTGTTGTACACACGGGGGCACAGTGAAATATCGTAAAAGAGCCTCTGTTCTCCCGTAGCTTGCTAAAGGCCTGCAATTTCCCCGGTGGCAAGTATGAGTGGTGTAGTCAGTGTAGTGGTGGCAAGTATGAGTGGTTGTAGTCAGCTGTACGTGGCTGGCACCAAGTATGAGATGGTGTAGCTCAGTGTAGTGGTGCAAGTATGCAGTGGTGTACGTCAGTCGTAGTCGGTGGCAAGTTCAATGAGTGGTTGTAAGTCAGTGTAAGTGGAGGCAAAGTATCGCACGTGGTTGTAGTCACGTGTAGCGGTGCGCAAGTATGCAGTGTGTAGTCAGCTGTCAGTGGGTGCTAACCCTATGAGTGCGTTCGTAGTCACTGCTACGCGGTGGCCAAGTATGAGTGGTGTAGTCAGTGTAGTGGTGGCAAGTATGAGTGGCGTAGTCAGTGTAGTGGTGGCAAGTATGAGTGGTGTAGTCAGTGTAGTGGTGCGCAAGTATGAAGTGGTGTCAGCTTTCAGCTGTACGTGGTGGGCAAGTACTGAGTGGTCGCTAACGTCCAGTCGTAGTCGGAGGGCAAGTATGACGTGACGTAGTCACGTGTAGGCGGTGGCAATGTATGAAGTGACGTAGTCAGTGTAGCGCGTGGCAAGTATGAGTGACGTAGGTCAAGTACTGACGTTCGGTGTAGTTCAGTGGTAGTGGTCAACGTATGAGTGGCGTAGTCAGTGTAGCCGGTGGCCAAGTATGAGTGGCTGTAGTCAGTGTACGTGGCTCGCCAAGTATGAGTGTGTACGTCCAGTATGCAGTCGGTGTAGTCAGTATGAGTGGTGTTAGTGGTGTTTCTCACAGCGCACCACGTCCATGCAAAATTACACGTGGTTGTCCCAGCAGTGCCCTGGCTGTGTATCGTGCGTGCGTGCGTGCGTGGCATCGGCGTGCCGGTGTGTGTGCGTGCGTGCGTGTGTGATACACGGCGCCCTCTGTATAGCTGGAACGCATGGTACTGCTTTGTCATACTGAGGCTCGCTGCCTGCCTCGGCCTGCCGCCTGCCACTAATACTCACCGTCTTCGGGAGGAAAATGTGAGACAGCTTAAGGTCTCATTGACTAGCGGTACCGCGAGTTCACCTGTGTACGCGAGTACAAGCTCAGTCGTCTGTGTTGCGCCGGTAGGAGGAAGGGGAGGCAGCAGTCCCGGCTGCTCGAACTGTTATTTGATGTAGAGCATCTTACTGCACATGAACAGTGCAATGCGAGAACTAGTACTAGTCAGGCAGAGAGTGAGTTAGGAGATTGGCGCTGCCCAGTGTACAGTAAGCCTAACGAGCTTATCTTGGCTAAATGTTGCTGTTGCACGTCAGTAACAATAGGAGGCAATTGCTGTGATCTCAACAGGTCAACGTACCAGAAATCATTGTGAACCGCGCTACCACGCGATGTGACCTACGAAATCGCAGTATAGTAAACTATACTATTCATATAACCCTAGCATATACAGCTGACAAGCTACACTGATGGAGCTGATGTTAGTAGTGCCTTCAATCTGTGAACGCCCTCGTATCTCTTTCCTGATCCCACTGTTTCGTGCTGTCAACGTTCTCTCAGTGTCCAGCAGGTTCTCATTACTCTCATGTTGTTCTTTTGCTTTCCTTTCTAGGTTCTCACTGTATCGTTTGTTCCTCGGGTTCTCGTCTGTCATCTTCTGCTAACATTCTCGTGTCTCCTTGTTGTACTTGCGTGTTTTCCTAGGTTTCGCATTTCCCACTGCATGTTCTTCCATCGTTGTCCTGTCGCTTGCTCTGTGGTCTCATGTTGTTCCTTAGCTGTCGTAGGTTCTCGTGTCTCCATGATGTTGTTCTTGATGTTTCGCCTAGGTTCTCGTGCTCTCCATGATTGTTGTTCTTCGATGTCTCCCATAACGTTCTCGCTGTCTCATGATGTTGTTCTTCCGATGTTCCAATAAGTTCTCCCGTGTCTCGAGTGATGTGGTTCTTGATCGTTCCCATCAAAAGCGTTCTTGTGTCTGCACGATGTTGTTCTTAGGCTGTTCCGTAGCGTTCTCAGTCGCTCCATGATGTTGTTCTTTGATGTTCCGTAGGTTCTCCGTGTTGGACTTCGTTCCATCCGCGATGTCTGAACGCCGACGAACGACCTCCCGCACCGCGGTCGCGCCACGAGGTCATAGCCGAGACCTCACACCTCTTCCACTAATGCAAGAGAGGCTGTTCGGCTTAGTCAAAGAACTGAAGGAAGAACGAAAGCGGGTCGAGTGCGCTACGTTAGAGAATAGATCGATTAACAGAGGAGAGAGAGAAAGGGAAAGTGGGAAGACGGACGTAGAGAGAAGGGGGGAAGGGGAGGCAAGAAACAAGCGGGAGAGAGAGAGTGAAAGAGAGGGAAGGAAGAGAGAGAGAGAGAGTGAGAAAGAGAGAGAGAGGTGAGAGAGAGGAGAGAGAGAGAAAAAAAAATTAGTGGCACAGAGAGAGACGAGAGAGCGACGAAATTTAGCACACGAGCACGTCAGAGAAAGGGAAGAAACAATGTGCGTGATGTGGCGTGGATGACGTGAGTGAGCGTGTACTGTACGAGGGGGGGGGGGTTGGGGGGGGGGGGGGATGTACTTGTATGTGTGCATACGTACATGCATGCCTGCATGAATGACGCAAAAAAGAGAGGGCGGGCTTAAGGAAAGATAGAACGAGAGAGCGTGGCAACGTTTAATAACGCAAAGAAGATATCCAGTGTATCTAATTAAGGAAGTGCACAGTGTAACGCAGCCTAATTTTCGTCGTTTAACAGGCCACTCGTGCCCGCTGCGATTCTCCTACTTCCTCGTGCCCTCACTACCACTCTGTTCACGCTCCCGCGTTTTTCCCCTCACACACAGCGGCCTCAACGAGGCCGCAGAAGCACAGACGCTACCACTCTAGCAAGAATCAAGAAATCGCAGGCCTAGAGCAAGGTACGCCTTACGTCACCCGAGCCGATGTCAACC